CGCTCTCCTTCTTTTTGGAGGCAGACAACAACACGAATGGAAAATTGTAAAATGTCGCCGTCGCAAAAGGGGAAAGAGAAATGGGCTAGTAGCGAGTAGTGTATTGTCGATGCGAATTCGGCGGGGTAAACAAGTTTACTGCCAGCGCCAGACGCAAACAAAAACAGCAAAAGAAAACCAGGAATACACCTAACAAATTTGTATAATTAAGTTTATTTTATGATCCAAAACAACAAACTAGTAACCAATATTAAACAATTTAATGTAACCCATTTAGGGAATAGCTTAGAAAGGATTTTGTTTCCAATTCTTTTATTCTTTTCTATTGTTATATTTTTGTATGTGTTATGTCATTTCTTTCCAAATTTTATTAATATAAATATCCCTTGATTAAAGACGTTAGCTACCATGCACCAATTTCATTTAAGTAGAAGAAATATTTTCTATTTTTATTGTTTGAAATTTCTTTGCGTGCATTGCAACAACTGCAACAGGCAACAAGATGACGCCAAGAAATGCAGATGAGGCTGACAGCAGCCAAACGACGACGACCATGTCGGTGCAATGTTCAATGCATATGGGTCGGTGCTCCATTTCCACATGGACGCCACTGCATCCACAGCCAGCCCGAATCCCCGAACCCCAAAAGCATCCTCATCAATTGGGGAACATGGAGCAGCAGCAGCAGCAGCAGGACGACGCCGATCTTTGGCTGCATAATTGCCAGTCTAAATCAATGGGGCGCAAGTTGTTGTTACTCTTGTTGTTGTTAGTGTTGTTGTTGTTGCTTTTGTTGGCGTTGCACCCATACATGACTTGGTCGGACTTCATTGTCAACGCCGTTTACCATTGCCATTTGCCGTCTCCATCGGCAAATCCACAACTACCACATGCCCATCCACATCGACGTGCACATCCAGCGCATCCACAACCACATCCACATCCACAGCCAACTGGAACTGCAACTGCATCTCCATCTCCATCGGCATCGCCATCTCCATGTCGCATGTCCCAAGTCTTATGTCCATGTCCGTCGCGGTCGTCGTCAATATTTGCCATGATCTTATCGTCAAGCGGAGTCATGTCGCTGCCATGGCTCTACTGCCGAACCCACCTCCGTACCCCCATCCCCCTTTCCCCCCAAGAGTCCCCTCAAAACCCCCCTCTGCCACACCCCTGGGCAACAGCAGCAGTCACTTGGGTGCAATTATTTTCTAGATACACTCGCTGAAGAAGAGGTACTTGCCTGTGTTGACTCTAAAAAAAAACTAAATTATGAGTAGATTATTTAATGCTTAACATAAAATATTAAACTTTTTGTGCATTTTAAATTTAATTTTTTATAATATCAAGCTTTAATATAAATCTAATTAATTTTTGTTTGTAAGCAACAACATTTTTATATTGCTGTGATACAAGTTTTGGTTTTATTAGAAACAGTTCACTTATCAATGTTTTTTTTATAAATAGGTAATTTTAAGTGAACTGTTTTATTTTTCTAAATCCTCCAAAGGTTTAAACTTAACAAATATTATTTTTCTGTCTATATAAAAAGTTAAAAAAAATCAGTATTTTTTAAGGCAATTGAGAATGAGCATTTGAAGAGGACTTAATTTAACCATGATTTAAGTTGAGAATACGGCGGCTAATTCGAATTCCTTTTATGAATCCACCTTCTGACTGGCAGGGTATACCGTCTCTTTAATATATACTGATCTCTTTCGATCTCCTTCAATGCCTTCCCCCGGCTCCGATGCACATCATCTTTGGAGCTGAGTTATGGCAAAAGACCTTGGACTTAAGCACCAGCGACGTTGATACTTCGCTCCTCCGCTCCTTCTGCTCGCTGGTTGGAAACCAAACGGTGCCGTCTTGCACCCGCACTGGCAACCAAGATGCCTCCTCCGCCACCTCCTCCTGCCCCCCCCTTCGACCTCACTCCCCCTTCTCCTACCATCTCCTCCGCCTCCGCCTCCGCCTCTGCCAATAGTGCAATTTGTCATTGCACCGTCAGCGACGACGCGTGCGCCAGCGAGGAGATTCAAGTCACTGAGCTGCCGGCTGCTCCTCAGCTTTACTGCTCCGAAACACTGGGAAAAATGTAACATTAAAACTACATTAATCCAGAAACTTAAAAAAAAAAAAATAAAAAATAATTTATAACAAGCACAGAAAATGTTGAAGCCGGAGTGCAAAGTGTTAAATCCAGACATGAAAAGATCTTTAAAAACTTTTGTGGTACCTCGAAGAAAACATGATCATAATTGCAAAAAACTTTCTACTTTAAAAATTTCAAAATACTTAAAAAATTTAATTGGATTAAACTTTACAAATGGTAACAAAAATGCAAATTGTATAACCTTACCATTTTATGAGCACAACTTTAATTGCATTATGACCTGCATAAATTAGTTCAAGATATATGATAGGGTAAAGACCTTCGAAAGTAGTTTGAAGTAAATTGAATAAATCCATTTCTTTTCGCTCAGTGTACTTTAAAGCTCCTTGACTGCCTCGTTGCTTTGGTGCCTCGTCATCTATCGCCGGCTGCCATCTGCTTACAGTTAAAGCGACTGTCGGTCGCCGCTCCTCGAGCTCCGAGCACCGAGCACCGGGCATCATCTCCTGCTGCGTTCTCCTTTTGGCCCCGACTCGGTGGTGCTTGGTTGCCAGTGGTGCTGCTCACCAGCAGTGGTGCAGTTTGCCGTTCGCCTATCAGCCGGCTGAAGATGGCGCTCCTTGGCGACGACTTCTTTATGGCTCTTGATTTTTATGATTTTGCTATTTAATGGTTCATTTGTGGGCCTCCACTGCGAGTGCGAGTGCGAGTGCTCGTATGTGTCTGGCTTCCAGTTTTCTTATCGCAGCGCTATATCTTTTTTAGCATTTTCAATGTGTGTCTTATTTTGTTTTATATTTTTTGCTGTCGCCCCGTTTTGGGGGGAAGTCTTCTGGCTTAATCTCTCTCACTGGAGTGCTGTATTTTCTTTTTAAATTTGTTTATATCTTAGCTGGTAGCCTTTGGTTAGCTAAATGGCAAACCAAGTCCAAAGAGAATCTAGTTCATTGCTAGCTTATGTGGCATACTTTAAGGCTGTTGGAATGGAGGGAGAGATCAAGAACTGGTTGTTAAAGGCTAAATATTTAATGGCAGCTCCCCTAAAAGCTGAAACCCGATGCCGTGATTATGCTAATGAGCCGTTGTTGACACGCTCGCTGATCTCGCAGCGCTCGGATCTTCAGATCTCCATCATCATTAGCCCACCTTTCGGATTAACATTTGCCAACTCAGCGGCAATCTCTCGAAGAAGAAGAGGCGACTTCCTATCAACAACCAACAACCAACAGCCAACAACCGACCACCGACTTCTGAGTACCAACTACCGACTCGCTTCGATCATCGCCATCGTTTGCCTTGGCCATTTGTTTAACTGCCGCTGTGACACCTCCTCTGCGCGTTGCAATCGCGGATGGGATGGGATGGAATGGGATGGGAGGACGCAGTTGGCCATGGAGCTGTGGCTATGACGATGGCTATAACGATAGCCATGGCTATGGCGATGGCGATGGGTAATGGATAATGGCGCCGCCTCCATTCAAAAATCACTTTATGGCTGCTGCGTCTGCAGCTGAGGTTGTGTTGTCCATAATTGGACGCAGTGCCAATCATTTTAACAGCTACACAAACACGCAAACCGCGAAACCGGCTAGGATTGCTACCCAGATCCCCTGCTCCTCCTCCTCCTCCTCGTTTTCCCCATTCCACTCCACAATTCGCGTCTTCCTTTAACCACGCTGATAATGCAAATTTGTGCGAAACAAGCGGTTGCGACTTCGAGTACCTCACAATTAAGTGTTTGCTTTGATTTATGTTTTCAAAACCAAGGCAACTTTGTGCAAAAATGTCTGCTCACGCAATATGGAAAGAAATTACAAATTCAATCATTTAACCAAAGGTTCAAATATGTGATATTTTTTGAATAGAAATATCATATAAACCTTGATATACAAAAATACCATAATAAATCAGGCTATCAGGAATGCCAAAGGTAACAAATGAAGTTTTAATGGGGTTCAAATCTCTAAAGGATATAGTAAAGTTTCAGAAGTACTTTTAATTCCCCCTTTAGGGTGGACCCAAAATATATTTGTTATTTAAAGAAATTCGGTTATTACTATGTACTTTTCGATGTTTAATTAGTAATAATAGATGTAGTTTTTTGAGAATACTTTATACCCTTGTTCCCCTCAATTATAGGGTATAATGAGTGGTAGTACTTCGAATGAGACAACTGCTGGCAGTCACTTCAAAGCGGTCTGCGTTTACAGAACCAGGAGGAAGCCACCATCCGTCCATCCGTCCAGGGGGGAACCAATCTCCTTTCCCCTTCTTTGGATGCTGGTTTCTGGTTTCGTCTCAATGACAATTGGCGCCATAGCCGCGGGGTGCGTTTGGGGCTTGGTGTCTGGCTGCCGAGGATCGCTCCTTTGGAAGTTCGGTTGTTTGTTTATAATTAGCCCACTCGCTAGCCATCGACTGCAATTCAAATTGATGATGGCTACTGGTTTTGCCAGGCCTTCACTGCTATTTTAATGCTCGATCAATTTTCTAACAGCCTTACGGTCTCCACAGTGGAAAACTAACAGCAGAGTTCACTAATTTGTTTAAGTTAACTTAGAAGTGTAGAAGTTCATTTCTTTAAAAGTATGTCCTATAGCTAATTACTTAAATTAAAATATAGTGAGATTATACAGAAAGGTACAATATTTAAATATTATAACTTCTGTAAAATAAATAAAATACTAATAGAATTCTTACATAAAAGCTGTTGTGAAAATTTTATTAAGTATTTAATGTATTAGAAGGTAAAGATTTCTTTGGACAACCAGAATGAGACTATTTTTGTTTTCCTGTTTTAAATTCTATTTTTTCCAGTGTCCTCTTTTTCCGATCGATCACTTTTCTAACAACCCTGCCTCCTTCTCCGATCTCCTTTCAGGCGGAAATGCTCCTGGACGACGGGCTGCTGGGATCGGGACACGTTCTCGGATTGGCGGCACATCCGCACGGACTGGTGGGCGCCCTGGCCCCGCCCCCTCCGCCGCCGATGAAGCAGTCGCAGATGGACATTCCCAGTGGCAAGAAGCAGCAGCAGCAGCAGCTGAAGGGAGCCTCGCCTGGAGCGGCCATGGAGTACCACTACCAGATTATGTATGCGCACTGTGTGCAGCAGCAGCAGAGGGAAAGAGAGAGGGAGAGGGAGCGGGAGAGAGAGCGAGAGCGGGAGAAGGAGCACCTGCCGCACTCGCATCCCCTGCCCCTCCCCCTGCCACTGGCCCACCAGCATCGAGCCGTTCTGGTGGCCACCGCACCACATCCCCACGGGCCGCACCACCACCCACCGCCGGCCGCGCTCAACTCCTCGTCGGCGTTCCGTCCGTGGGGACCCAGCAACGCGAAGGCCTTCCTGCACGCCTACAATGCCACGCTCTCCTCGCTGCCGTACGCCTGCCAGGATCCGCCGGAGCTGCAGAATCCCGAGCGGGTGGTGCGCAGCACGGACAAGCGGTACGCGGAGCGCACCTACCAGCCCAACGTGGCGTTGGCGCCGCGCAAGAGCATCCTCTCGAAGGAGCGGGACAGCAACAAGGAGCGCGAGCGGCTCGCGGAGCGGGAGGTGATGGAGCGCCAGCGGCTGAGGGACAAGGAGCGGGACCATCAGGTGGTGCACATCAAGCAGGAGCGATCGCAGACCCCCACACCCACGCCACCCACAATATCGCCGAACGAAAGCGTCGACGTGCCACTGGATGTCGTCGAACCGCCGCACACCTCCTCCAGTGGCAGCAATTCACCGTTACCCGCCCACCTGCCCGCTGCTCCTGCAGGGAGTGCAGCACCACCAGCAGGCGGTGCAGGTGGTGTACCACCGTCGCAAGCCACAACCACAACGGCAGCAGCAGCAAGCACAACAACAACGGCGGCCGCCAACCTGCGAAATATGCGCAGTCCCGAGGAATTTTCAGCGGGTGGCAGCAACGAGATTACCTCCTCGACCTCGCCGCACCACCAGTCGGTGGTGCAGCCATTGGGGGCGGGGACGGGGGCGCCACCGCCGTCGCAGCACATCATAGCCACCGTTAATCAGCATGCCAAACTATTGCCCAGCTCCAGTTCGCTGCCGAATGGCAGCTCGTCGCTGGCGGCCACGAACAACGAACCAAGTCGGATTAGGATCAACAAGAACCTGATGAGTCAGCAGCCGGTGGTTGGGGTGAGTCCCCACCTCGCTCCACACCACCACCATCAGCAGCAGCAGCACCACCATCACCACCAGCAGCAGCAGCAGCACCACCAGCAGCAGCAACAGCACCACCAGTCGCATCACCACATGACGCATCACTACAGCCATGGTTACTACAAGGCGCAGGCCTCCTCGCCCACCCAATCCTCCAGTGCCGGGCTCAACCTGAGCACCCACTCGTCGAATGTGGTCAGCTCACCGCACCACCCGAGCCACCACCCGAAGTCGCAGCACAGTGCTGGTGGTGGTGGTAGCCACGGCCTTTCCAATGGAAAGCCTCATTTGGGCAGCGAATTCGAGCTGTCCACGGATACGGATGATACGGACAGCCTGAACGGGGAACCGGACTCGAGTGCCATGTTGCCGCCCTGGGAGCAGGCGGTGGAGTCGCTGCGGGACACGCGGCCCAGGGATCGGGAGCGGGTGCTCCACCTGCTGCAGGGATTGCTGCAGGAGAACCACCAGTATCGCTACAAGAACATCCAGCTGTGCGAGGCGCTGCACAGCAGGGATGCCCAGATCGCCGACCTCACGGAGCAACTGCAGCGGTATCGCAGGCAGTTCGAGGAGCAGGAGTGCAAGGTGGACCTGCGCAAGATGCCGTTCAAGCAGCAGACGCGACTCGAGGAGATTGTGGTGGCCAGCGGAGGAGGCGCCGGCGAACGGGAAGCGGAAGCGGAAGCGGAAGTGGAGGAGGAGGAGGACGAGGACCTCGAGGAGGAGGAGATGGAGGACAGGGCCAATAACAATAATCAACAGGAGCTGTTGCCGCTGATGAAGCCACCGCCCCCGGCGAATGGCCTGCGTAGGAGTGCCACGCCCCTCAACTGTTGTACGAGCGAAGGGGAGTTCCTCGAGAAGCTCGAGGAGCCCGAGAACAAAAGGATAAAGCTGCAGCAGGTGGCGGAGGAGGAGCAGGAGGCAGGCAGGGAGGAGAAATCGCAGGAGGAGGAGGAGGAGAGCCCCTCCAACAACTCACCAGCCACGGAGTCCGATGAACTGGAGAAAGGCGAGCGAAACGGGGAGAAAAGCCACCCAAGTAATCATCTTAAGAGTCCCCCAGCCAGTCAAACCTCCAGCGATGAGGAAATGGAGGACGACGAAGACGACGAGGAGGACGAAGAGGAGGTCGAGGAGGAGCTGGAGGAGGATGAGGGTGTCCAGGTGCAGGCCCCCCACAGCAGTGCTCTGGCCACGCCCCCCACGGCGACAACGCCCCTTTCGCCGGACTCGGCGGCCACCGCCGGTCAACTTTTCGATAGCAGCAACAGCAGCGACGAGTCCTCGATGAAGAAGGCCCAGATGTCCGCCTGTCATGCCCTGGAAAAGATCAGCAGCAACGTGGCCAGCGAGGAGAGCAATCGCAGGCTCGAAGAGGAGAGCCAGGACGCAGAAGAGGATGCGGAGGAAGATGCAGAGGAGGAGCCGGAGGAGGAGGAGGAGGACTCCGACGACGACGAGATGCCATTGCAGCAGCGGCAGCAGCAGCAGCAGCAGCGCCAGTGGATGCCACCCCAAGCCCAAACGGTGGTCAGCGGATCAGCTCAGGCGGTGCACCAGCAGCATGCCGCGAACGCACCACATCCCCCGATGGCCACCAAGGCCAGCAAGAAGCAGACACCACCAGCACCACCCACGGCAGCCACATCCACCACAACGTCGGCGACAACGAACTGCGAGTTACAAATCAAAAAGGAAATAGCCTAGAGATAAAAACCCCCAAAAAAAAGAGGAAGAAACTCTCAATGAAAAGCTCCTTCCACACACACACACACACACACACACACTGTTGGAAATTTAGTTAAGATCGCAATTTCACTTGGAAAAGAAAGTGCAGCCGAAATTCAAGCACAAAGCCTAAACGCACATTTTGCCCGTTTTATGGGTTTTACTAATCTTTCGAGAAATGAAATATATTTTGAAATACTAATTTGGTAATGTTTATAAACATGCCCGCTGGCTTTTCAATTGTTAAATCTAACTGAGTGACACGTCATCACATTTGTTTAACAAAATCCTATTAGGGATTACCAACTGAATTTTAAATATTACACATTTTCAAATCATTTGAGTTTTTAATACAACTTGAACAACCCATATTATATTTAAAGAAATTTATAAAGAGCAAACCTTAAGATCCTGGGAACGTGAAAAACTATAATTTTTCCCCTGTATCGCAACTACTTTTCAAAATTTTAATATATTTTCAAATCGCTTTTACATAGCTTGAATTGATCTCACTCAAAAGAAGAAAAGAAAAACAAAACAAAAAGGACAAAACAATTTATTTATGCTTCCCAATTTCGAAAATCTTTCAGCGTTGCTTGCAGAAATTATAAATGAAACCAAAGCTTTAAAAAAATTAATTTTGTGTATATTGTTCAACGACCAATTTGTGCGTGTGTTTTTAGCACTTATTGCTAGACCTAATTAAGATATTATTTTTTACACTTGTAAGCTCTGCAAGACATTTAAACCCAAAACAATATTCAAAGCGAGGCTTCAAAAGCAAAATTTAGAAAAGGTTTTTCTTTGGTCAGACAGGCAGCTGGTTCTTTTTAAGAAAGGAGGGAGGGGATATGCACATAGCCCTCTGGAAACCAATGTAATTACACTAAGTTAACCCTTAGTTTAAGTTGAACAGACAAATCGATAGAGAGTAATGAGAAAACACACAAAATGAACCCACCACAGATAACAACAAAAATATACGCTAAACAGTTCTAAAATAAATCTTATTAAAGAAGGAAAAGCAAATTTGTATGAATAAGGAGTTGCAGCGTTAAATTTATACAATACAGATATGATTAATATACTACGATATATGACAGATGATGAGCAGGAAGTGCTGGATTATTAATTAATCCCAGCCTCCACGAGATGCATAAACATATACATAAGCTTACATAAAGATTAATATTTATTGTAGCTGCTAGTTATAATTCGAGCAATTCTCTTAATTGTATAATTATAGTCTTCTGTTCTTCTTCAAGTTGTAAGCTTTGCTCTGTAGGCATTTAGTTTCGTAGATCGTAAACATAAAACAAAACATTTGCTAACTAGTTCTTAAGGCTTCCTTTTTGGCTTAGTTCTTTGTCTATTGTGAATGACATCGACTGGTCCTCGTTTTTTTGTATATATAATTTTTCCCTCGACGAGATTAGAGTACGGATTTTAGTTGCCAACACTTTGTGAGAGACATTTGTATATGCAAGATATCTTCTGGATAATAACCAACTAAAAACAAACCCAAGCCAAGAGCCAAGCGAAAAGAGCGCAGAGATTTCTAAAATCTATAAACTTTTGTTATAAAAACATATTTCATAAATTATTTATGCCTGTGTGTGTTTGTACTTTCTAAAAGAAAACATTTCGTTCTGTATTTAAGAATACAATTTCTAAATTAAAATAAAACAAAAGGAAACAAAAACCATTTAAACAAATTCAAACCAAAATTTGTTTAGATCATAAGCTAAATTTATGTAAAATTGTATAAATTTAAACAAGCGATAAACGAACACTTAAGACGTAAATAAAACATTTATAAACCATTCAAATTGAGACACTAAGCATTAAAGAATCCATTGTTATGCATAAAAAAAAGTTTAAAAAATTCACAAACAAATTGCAATTGCCTTGCAAAAAAAATAAATAAAAACAAAAACATACAAATTATTGTAAATGAATTCTCTTCAATTTTGTGTTTTATTTGCCAGAACCAGAACCAGTACGATAAATGAATAACATTAAATAAGTTAAATAACACAGCTAAAGAACAGAAAAGTACCGAGTGAATAGGGACGAAATATGGTTAATCAAAAACGTCAAAACGGTTTTCAGCAAATTTCGTGTATTTATGGCCAAATTTTACAAACGATGAAAATAGTTGAGCATACAGAGATGAAAAAAACCCAAACATGTTTTGTATCATTTTTGCTAACAATCCAAAGAGATAAACAACAAAACAAACAATCATTTTTATAATTAAACGATTAAAATATATTGACAAATTTTACATAACCCGAGTGTTTATATATGACATATTATATATATTTAAATTTAAATACGAGATAGAACGATGCCCAGCTAAATTCGAGCATCTTTGCCCCGCTTAATGAATCGACTTGATATTGTTAAAACTTAAACGTGCAAAGGCTAAAGAAGAACAAGAAATCACAAAATAATGGCATAAGTTATATACTAATTATTTAAGCATGCAGCAACAAATCCGCGTCTTGTCAAAATACAACATATACATAAATATATGTCTGACGATTCAGAATGCAGAAATAAAATGTACAAATTGTGGAGCAAATAAACAATAGAAAATGTAGTGAGAATTCGGGGGGAGGAGTATAAACGAAAACATAAAATGAAATGCACCACAAGCAAATAAAGTTTAATCAAATTAAACAGTTAATGAAAAAGCAAATTTGACTTCAACGTTTCATATTTAAGTAGTGCAGAAACAAATAAATACAAAAGAAAAATAAATTATTACGTATGTAATGAAAACAAAAACAAGAAATAAAAAAGCGATAAATATTATGCAAAATATACCACTGAGGTTTTTATTTTTCAAGAAAATTTATAGACATTTATGGAAAAAACTGCAAAGGTAAAGTTTTTTTTTTTTTTTTCAAAAAAATTAAATTTTTCAGTTACCTTGGAGGAACCCAACATGCAGTTTTGGTGTTTAACAATTATTTCCCATAGTAGTCATTTTCTGATCCCAAATATTTTTAGAAGGATCTATTAAGTTATTTAAAAGTTATAAACATACAATAAATGTAAAATTCGAACTCCGTATGGAAAACATTTATTCTTTTTCGAGAACGTCTAAAAGATTTCTGATTTCTTAGTAAGAGCGACAGTAACACAAAGCAATCTAAGCCAGCTACGGTATTGTATAAAAATGTTCAACATTCTAAATAAAACTAGCAAAATTAAACATTTTGTCGAATTCTTTTGCCCACTGTATGTTGAAAGCGCGTAAAAGTAAAATTAGCTAGGTTTTTTAAGTTACCGCTAGATGTCGCACGAAAACACATGTAAAATAAATGTAAAATTATTTTTTTTTAAACAGTATATTTACTTAGGCCTAGTCAAGATTACAATTATTTATTAAAAGCAGTGGCGGATCCAGAGACGATGCTTGGGGGGAAATTGAACTTATTCTTCGATTTGGGGTTTAAACTTATTATTGCGAGAGAAATACAGTACAAATTATAAAACAAAAATTATCCATCCCAATTTTTTGGTAAACAAAGTGGTTATATTTGAAAAGTCAACCATAGCAAACAAGTAAAATTTTCAGGTTCTGTGGTTCCAAGGGGGGAAATTTCCCTAATTTCCCCCGTGGATCCGCCACTGTTAAAAGCCTTGTGTTTTCGACTTACATTATATCAAAATAACAATATAAAACTAGGTATATATATATCTCCATTTTAATTTAATCATCCGCAAACTCGCAAATATATTTGTGTTCAAAGGAACAACTGTCAACCCACATGCCACCGTTATGCACAGTAATGCAATGCTGGTCAGAGTGATTGTATTTGGGTTCTCCAGGTTTCCACTTCAAGAAGGGAGCTTTCTTTCCCGTGGATTTAGATATAAACACGCCTTTTTCAGCCAAATCACTAATGCCCAGCATATAACTAATATCCGAATTTAGTTCCGCAACGATGTTGTTAAATTCTTCTTCATTTTGGATAGAAGCTAAACGTCCGCCTATTTTTTCGCAGGAATCCGAAGCATCCGTCCAATTTTGTCCTTCATCACTTTCAATATAGAAATACCTCGATCCGATCAGCTTGAACTTAGAAGACATCATCGTCACTTTAGCATCAGTTTTATTTTTAAAGCTGTTCAAGTTTTCTTGAATTGAGGAAAGTTTTTCCTCAAGGTTGTCCTGTGAAGCAGTCTGCTTAGATTCCATCCTATTAAGCCTGTCTATGATGTCCTCCACCTTCTTCCAGGATTTCTCCAGGGATTCCTGCTGCCTTCCAATTTGAGCCCGAGTTTCTGTCTGCTGGTCCTCTATTCTTTGCAATTTGGCCTGAGTTTCATTTCGTTTTTCATTATCGCAATTGTTCCACTCATTCTGGTGCTTGGCAATGTGATCAATTAGTGGCATTAAGGCGGAGAGGCAAAATTCGCCACATTGATTCGGAGGATCCTGTAACAGGCACATGAAACGACCAGAATTCTCGGATACCGACAGGGTTTTTATGGGGATTACGGCAAGAATTGCACACAGAAAAGAAACTATTAACTTGGACATTTTGTCACTCTGACCCTCTGGGGACAAAAGTTTATAATGAACTGATTCTGGATGCATTCACTGACTGTCGATGAGCGAGAAGTGCGAGAGTGGTGATAATAACGACTAACTGTAAGCCGTATATATTATATATGCTGATTATTCCATATTTGTTGATTATTTATTTCGCCAGAAATACTAATACTTAACTATACTATACTACAAAACAAAAAAAAAATTAAGCTTTTAGATGCTTTTCTTATCCCTTACTCTTACAGTACGGGCCATTCTGAATATGTTGAAAAGTAAGTATTAAGTAAAAAATACTCTTCGTACCCCAGTTCATAAATTGTTGATCACCATAGATTTCGTTGAAGCGACGTGTTTTTATAAAAATTTACCAGTATTTTTTTTAATCAGATTTGATCATATTCCTCATAGTAACTGGTGTTTGAAAGTCGAGGAGCTTGACTACAGAGTTTTTTCTCGTTTCATTTGGCATAGTACAATTTGTAAAGATTAAAAATATTACAATATATGATGAAATACAATAAAAAGCCAAATCATGCGAGGTTTTTCTCAGCCGGGTATGACTAATGTAAATTTATTGCTCTACTTTCTTCGAATATTAGTATCTGAGGAAAAAATATTTAGCAAGTCAAACTTTTAGACTTAGACACATTTTAGATCCGTTAATGTAATGCATAACATATTAATTTTATAATCAACAAACTGCATTAGATAATTGTGAATTTTTTTGACGATTTTTATGATTTTTTCAAATTTTTAAAAAAGTGGGTTTGCTGAAAATTGACCAAAATTCACTAATCCTAAGTTCATATCTTTTCGTATTTTAGTTAGATTTTCAAGTGGCATACCTCTAAACATAATTCTGTTTCATTGAATTAATATAAATAAAAATTGAATTAAAATTCGTGGAAATCGGATGACCATATCATATAGCACTCATAGGAAAAGTCGGTGAAAAATGTGAAAATATATAGAACAAGAAAGGAAGCAAGGACATTATCATTACTGCTGCCCACTGCCGCTTTACCAGAGAAGGAAAACAACTTGAAGCCCAAGAATTCCAAGTGCGCGCAGGCTCCTCATGGACAAATAGCTACGGGACTCTCATCCAAGTTGCAGCAAAAAAGTCGCACGAGAAGTACAGCAAAAAAACGTCTGTAAACGACATTGCTGTTATGCGATTAAGTATGCCGCTTGTGTTCTCCAGCAAAGTGCAGAGCATTTCCTTAGCCGAAAAGAATCCGTCACCCGAAACTCTTGCGAAGGCTTTTGGTTGGGGACAGTGAGAGAACAGTTTACCAAGGAATCCAATTCGGGGAATATCCGGAACATCTAAAAGGCGTAGAGCTTCTTATTCAAGATTGCCAGAATTATCTTTTCACCACTGAGGATAACTTTTGTGTCCATTCCCGTGGAAAATCCACTTGTGGTGGCGACTCTGGTGGACCTTTGGTCGTTGACCAGCAACTTGTCGGTGTTACCTTATTTGGCCTGGGTCAATTATGCGACGGATTTTTAGCCTTCGCAGGTGTCCCTGCTTTCCGGAACTGGATTTTAAATGCCATTGAATCTCTTTAAAGGTACATCTTAAAAAATAAATTGCATACACATGTTTCACATTTTTGAATAAAAATTGAATAAAAATGTTTATAAAGAATAAAGTAAAACAAGGCTTTCATTTAAATTTTCTCAAAAATATCTTTTAAGAAACAAAAAAAAATAATTTAATATGCATACAAGAAAGGAAGCTAGCTTCGGCAAGCCGAAGCCTTGCAGACATAAAAGATGTTGAACAAAATACATAAAGGCTAAACAACCAAAGGCTATTCCAAAAACTATTCAAGTAAAAAGTAATCCATTATTTGAAGAATAGATGGCTCAGTTTTTTGCAAATAAAGATAAAGGATTTTATGAAAGGGTTATCATAAAATTACTATCAAAATGGAAATCGATTGTGGAAAAAAAGCTTTGAATTTCATGTACCAATAATGGATTACTTTTTACTTGTTCTTTGCTAATGAAAAAGATTATGCAGAGAGTGGGCAGCACATATGCACCACAAGCAAAGGAAAGCATAAACCCGTTTATGGAAACCACTCAAAAAAGTCGAACTAGGTACAGTAAGTTACCGCTAGACATCGCACAGGAAAACATGTAAAGTGTGTGTAGAATTTAAAATTTTAAAAACAGTGAATACCAATGGATATAAAACCTAGCCTGTCGCTGAAAAAAAATATAGAGTTAAAGTCGACGTTGGTTGGAAATTGTGCGCATATAAATGTTTTTTGTTTGCCCGCTAGTTGACATGTGGAAAAAATAAAAAAACAAAAATGTATTTAAACAACATTTTCGAAAGATGAATGTTTTTTAAAAAATTAAAAATTAATTCTTTATTTATTGGGCATTCAATAGCGTTTTACACTTGTTATATAAAAAATATAAAAATAGATATAACCATTTTTTGATGTTGTCCTTCTCCATTTTGACTTAATCATCTGCAAACTCGCAAATGAATTTGTGTTTAGAACAACCGTCAACCCACATGCCACCGTCGTGCACAGTAACGCAATGCTGGTTAGGGTGATCGTATCTGGGTTCTCCAGGTTTCCACTTCAAGAAGGGAGCTTTCTTTCCGGTGGATTTAGTTATAAACACGCCCTTTTCAGCCAAATCACTAATGCCCAGCATATAACTTATATCCGAATTTAGTTCCGCAACGATGTTGTTAAACTCTTCTTCATTGTGGATAGAAGCTAAACGTCCGCCTATTTTTTGGCAGGAATCCGAAGCATTCGTCCAACTTTGTTCTTGAACACTTTCAATATAAAAATACCTCGATCCGATCCGCTGGAACTTAGAAGATATCATCGTCACTCTACCCTCGGTTTTATTTTTAATGCTATTCAAGGTTTCTTGTATAGCGGAAAGTTGTTCCTCAATTTTGGCCTGTGAACCTTGAAGGCCCGTCTGCTGAAGTTCCATTTTATTAAGCCTGTACATGATGTCCTCCGACACAACCTTCTTCCAGGACTTCTCCAGGGATTCCTGCTGCCTTCCAATTTGAGCCCGAGTTTCTGTCTGCTGGTCCTCTATTCTTTGCAATTTGGCCTGGGTTTCATTTCGTTTTTCATTATCACAGTTGTTCCACTCATTCTGGTGCTTGGCGATGTGATCAATTAGTGGCATTAAGGCGGAGAGGCAAAATTCGCCACATTGATTCGGAGGATCCTTTAACAGGCACATGAAACGACCAGAATTCTCGGATACCGACAGGGATTTTATGGGGATTATTGCAAGAATTGTACACAGAAAATAAATTATTAACTTGGACATTTTGTTCCACTGACCCACTGCAGACAAGAGCTTATAATAAACTGTTTCTGGATACATTCACTGACTGTTGAAGAGCGAGAAATGCCAGAGTGTTGATAAGAACGAATAACTGTAAGCCATTGGACTGATAATTATACATTATATATATACTGATTATTGCATATTTGTTGAATATTTATTTCGAGAAATACTTGTTATGCTAAATAAAAAGAAAAAAATAAGAAAATTTTTTTTGTTCCTTTACTCTTACAGTCCAGGCCATTCTTATATATATATATATAATAAATTAAGTATCAAGTAAAGAAAACATTTTGTTTCCCAAAAAGTACATAAGTTCTTGATCAGAATAAAACTTTTGGAAGCGGTGTGCTGATTTTAAAATTTACCAGTATTTCATTTAATTAGATTTGATTATATTTACCATAGTAACTAGTATTTGAAGGTTGTTCTTGTTTTATTCGGCATAGTACAAGTTCTAAAGATCATATATGTAGTATAATTTTTCTACAAGACCTTACAATCAATTACAATTAATTATGTTTCTCATGGGAACTTTTTCATAGCCGGATTTCATCAATTTTAATCTATTGCCCTGTTTTTTTCAATATGAGACACATTTTAGATCCTTTTTTAAGTGCCATATTTCTAAATTTTCCAATTTTTTTTTTGTTAAAAGTTCTTGGAATACTACCATAAAAATAAAATGGTACGCGACCACCTACTAATGCATTCTGTTGAAAATGTGAGCAAGAGCAGTAGCACATTTTGTATGAGCCACAAAAAAAAAGTCTACAGTTCCGATAGTTCCAGTTCATTTTGCACAGTTTAGTATAACTATTCCCTAGGCTTATACTGTAAATTCTGGGATAATCCATGTCTTGTGAATCTTATGGTTGCTTGAGCATTTCTCCACTTTAACTAAATCATCTGCAGACTCGCAAATATATTTGTGTTTAGCGGAACAGCTGTCAACCCACATGCCACCGTTATGGACAGTAACTCAATGCTGGTGAGGGTTATCATATTTTAGTCTTCCAGGTTTCCACTTCAAAAAGGGAGCTTTCTTTCCGGTGGATTTACATATAAACGCGCCTTTTCAGCCAAATCACAAATGTCCAGCAGATTACTTAAATTCGAATTTAGTTCCGCAACAATGCCTTTTTTTCGCAGAACTCCGAACCTGTCGTCCAATTTTGCTCATCAACTTGTTCAATATAAAAATATCTCGATCCGCTTGAACATTCTTTTGTTATTCATTCAAGTCAGCGTTTCCTGTATGGCTGTAAGTTCTTCCTCAATCTTAACCTGTTTAAGTTCAATCAAACCTGTTTAAGCCTGTCGACAATGTCCTCCGAAACCAGCTTGTTCCAGGATTTCAGCTGCCTTTCAATTTAAGCCCGAGTTTCTGTCTGCTGGACCTCTATTCTTTGCAATTTGGGCTGGGTGTCGTTTAGTTTTTCATTATCACTGTTGTTCCACTCATTCTGGTGCTTGGCAATGTGATCTATTAGTGTATCAGCGCGGCCACATTGATTCGCAGGATCCTGCAAGGCACATGAAGCGATCAGAATTCTCGGAGAACGATAGGGATTTTTATTGCAACAACTGCACACAGAAAATAAACTATCAACTTGGACATTCTGTCACGCTGACCCACTGCAGACAAGAGTTTATAATGAACTGATTCTGTATCGGTAACGCGGAAACCTAAAAATCTATTCTAAATGCTGCACTTCCTCATTATTCTAATATTTTAGTTTTAGTATTTAAAAATTATTTCCAGCATAGTAATCATTTTTTGATGCCAACTATTTTCAAAAGATTTTAAAGTTATAAATATAAAAGAAATTCGAACTCCGTATGGATAACATTTTTTCTTCCTTCGAGTATAAAGTTTAAAGGATTTCTGATTCCTTATTAACAAAGGTCCCGCAAAACAGCTTTAACACAACAACACAGCAAATTATCCAGATACGGTATTTTGAAAAAAGTTTCATAATTCTAAATAGAACTAATAAAATAATAAACATTTTGTTGCATTTTTTGCCTACTGAATGCCAAAAGTGCGTAAAAAGTCTAACTAGGTTCTGTAAGTTACGGCTTGATGTCGCACAGGAAAACAAATAAAATGTGTAAAGAGTTTTAAATTTTAAAATCAATGAATACCAATGTATATAAAACCTAGAATGTCGTTGAAAAATATACACTTAAAGCCGTCGTTGGTTGAAAATTGTCCGCATAAAAATGTGTTTGGTATTGCCCGCTACTTGACTTGTGGAAAAAAGTCCAAAAAGGTATTTACTGTACGATGAATTGTTTATAAAAAATTAAAATGAAGTTACTTAATTTTTTATTTATTCAATGCCCAGCGCTTTACACTTTTTATATAAAAAAGATAATAATATAAAAAAAGGTATATGTGTAGGGTTTTCACTGAGTCTGTTTACCACGTCGTACAAGTTCTCTTTTTTTTTCCACTTTTCTCGAGTCTCTCCCGGACGAGCCCCCAAATGTAGGGTTTGTTTATTGGTTAAAGGTTATTGAAATTATTGATTTTATTTAAAGACAATATTTAAAAATGATTAAACTGGAAAATAGATCGTCGTCGCGTCGTTTGGTTTGCTTCGTCTTAAGCACGTCTTCTCTCGGCCAGATCTCGTCGAATACTTCCTTCTTGCTTGGGTTTGGTCTCGTCGTGTTCATCTTCTCGTCGTTGTGATCCTCGTCTCCTTTTGGATCTTTGGCTCTTCTTTTGTCGTCTCGATGTCGTCTTTTTGCAATGCGTCGTTTTGGCAATCTGCCTCGTCGTAAGTATTTGTCTTGTTGTCTAGAGGTTATTAGGAAAATCACTCGCAAATGAATTTGTGTTTAGAACAACCGTCAACCCACATGCCACCGTCGTGCACAGTAACGCAATGCTGTTTAGGGTTCTCATATCTGGGTTCTCCAGGTTTCCACTTCAAGAAGGGAGCTTTCTCCCCGGTGGATTTAGATATAAACACGCCCTTTTCAGCCAAATCACTAATGCCCAGCATATAACTTATATCCGAATTTAGTTCCGCAACGATGTTGTTAAACTCTTTTTCATTGTGGATAGAAGCTAAACGTCCGCCTATTTTTTGGCAGGAATTCGAAGCATTCGTCCAACTTTGTTCTTCAACATGTTCGATATAGAAATACCTCGATCCGATCAGCTTGAACTTTGTTTTATTTTTAATGCTATTCAACGTTTCTTCTATTGCTGAAAGTTTTTTATCAAGTTTAGCCTGTGAAGCTTGAAGGGCCTGCTGCAATTCCATCCTGTTAATCCTGTCAACCGAAACAACCTTCTTCCATGATTTCTCCAGGGATTCCAGCTGATTTTCAATTTGAGCCCGAGTTTCTGTCTGCTGGGCCTCTGCTCTCTGCAATTTGGCAAGGATTTCATTTAGTTTTTCATTATCACTGTTGTTCCACTAATTCTTTTGCGTTTCAATGTGATCAATTATTGGCCTCAGCGCGGCGAGGCAAAATTGGCCACATTGATTCGGAGGATCCTGTAACAGGCACATGAATTGACCAGAATTTTCGGATACCGACAGGGTTTTATTGGGGATTACGGCAAGAATTGTACACAGAAAATAAATTATTAACTTGGACATTTTGTCTCACTGACCCACTGCAGACAAGAGCTTATAATAAACTGTTTCTGGATACATTCACTGACTGTTAAAAAGCGAGAAATGCCAGAGTGTTGATAAGAACGAATATTTGTAAGCCATAAGACTGATAATTATATATTATTATATATACTGATTATTGCATATTTGTTGAATATTTATTTAAAAATTTAAAAATTTTAAGATTAAAAATTTTTTTTTTCCTTTACTCTTACAGTCCAGGCCATTCTCATATACATATATTAAAAATTAAGTATCAAGTAAAGAAAACATTTTGTTTCCCAAAAAGTACAAAAGTTTTTGATCAGAATAAAACTTTTGGAAGCGGTGTGCTGATATTAAAATTTACCAGTATTTCATTTAATTAGATTTTATTATATTTACCGTAGTAACTAGTATTTGAAAGTCGAGGCTATTCTTGTTTTATTCGGTATAGTACAATTTCTAAAGATCATATACAGTAGAATCCGCTTATAGCGACTTTCAAGGGACCGACGAGTTTTCGTCGTTATACCCGGAAGACGCACTAAGCAAAAGGATATAGAGTAAGTGTATACCTAAGTCTGTCTGGGGACCAATCAAGCCATCGAGTTTTCGTCGCAATACCCGGACGGACACTATAAGCGGAGTCGTTATAACAGGATTCTACTGTAGTATAATTTTTCTACAAGACCTTATAATAAATTACAATTATTTGTGTTTGTCATGGGAACTTTTTCGCAGCCGGATTTGATCAATTTGAACCTATTGCTCTGCTTTCTTTCAATATGAGACACAATTTAGATCCGTTTGCAATGAATTTATTAATTTTTTGTTTGGTCGATTATTATGATACAACACCTCTCCAAATTTCCATAGAAATGCGTTTGCTTAAAATTTTCCAAAATAAAAGAATTCTAAGTTCATAACTTTTTGAAGTGCCAATTTTTTTGTTTAAAGTTCTTGAAATCCTACCATAAAAATAAAATAAAATACAAATGCATTCTGTTGGCATGATACTTAAAATCCTAGTCCCAATTGGTCTCGAGACTAGGATCGGTCAGACAAGCCGACAATTTTTTTGCCTAACGAATTTTGAAGTACCAGGCGAACAGAATGCAATAGTAGTAATTCTTCGAATAATTTGCCCAAAAGTATGTTACTTTTTTTCATAGAAATTTCCCACAATTAACCCTTTACATGGCAATAACTCCGATTTTCTTAATTTTTTTTTGTTTGGTAGATAAGTGAAAATAAAAATAATTTTTTTTTACAAAAAGGGGAGTGATGCTTTTTTTCATCAAATGGTCTTAAAAGGAAAATTTTTTTAATATGTGTTATAGAAAGATAATAACATTCATTCAATATTAATATATAGTAATTTATATTTTAAATATGTCAAATTAAATTAAGTTTTTTAAAGCAATTATTTCTTTTATTAAAACCTAAAAAAATAAACATTTTTCGCACTCCGTTTGGGAGAATCCAGTGAAGTTCGTATATTTGCAGTATTTTTTTATGTGTTAAGCTACTTTGATGCATATCTGCAACAAAGCGAAATTGTTGATTTATTCGTATTATAATGCAACAAACACAGAAACTCGACAAGATACAATATAACTATATAAATATAATATTTACTTGTTTAAAAATAAAAATTAGATCAACTACACATTTTTTTTTGTTATTTATATTTGGATGAGAAACTGCACAACCAATTCAGATTTCCACATTCACCAAATTGGCGGGAAAAGTAATCAGCTGTTGAGTATTGGACAGAATTCTGACTGACCAACACTTGTTATATAAAAAACGAAAGTTTCTGAACTGCATTAAAAAGATTTCAGACAGTTTTGCAATGCCCGTTGAAAAATAATTGAATTTGAACGGTATGATGCAGATATGCATCACCACCATGTAAAGGGTTATATCACCAATTTAATAAGTTCCAGTTTATTTTGCACAGTTTAGTATACATAACTATTCCCTAGGCTTATACTGTAAATTCTGGGATAATCCATGTCTTGTGAATCTTATGGTTCCTTGAGCATTTCCCCACTTTAACTTAATCATCTGCAGACTCGCAAATATATTTGTGTTTAGCGGAACAGCTGTCAACCCGCATGCCACCGTTATGCACAGTAACTCAATGCTGGTGAGGGTTATCATATTTGAGTCTTCCAGGTTTCCACTTCAAAAAGGGAGCTTTCTTTCCGGTGAATTTACATATAAACGCGCCTTTTCAGCCAAATCACAAATGTCCAGCAGATAACTTAAATTCGAATTTAGTTCCGCAACAATGCCTTTTTTTCGCAGAACTCCGAACCTGTCGTCCAATTTTGCTCATCAACTTGTTTAATATAAAAATACCTTGATCTGCTTGAACATTCTTTTGTTATTCACTCAAGTCAGCGTTTCCTGTATGGCTTGAAGTTCTTCCTCAATCTTGACCTGCTTAAGTTCCATTTTGCTAAGTCTGTCTATGATGTCCTCCGAAACAACCTTTTTCCAGGATTTCTCCAGGGGTTCCCGTTGCTTTTCTATTTGAGACCGAGTTTCTTTCTGCTGGATCTCTATTCATTGCAATTTGGCCTGCGTTTCATTTAGTTTTTCATTATCACTCTTGTTCCACTGATATTGGTGCTTAGCAATGTGATCAATTAGTGGCATTAAGGCGAAGAGGCAAAATTCGCCACATTGATTCGGAGGATCCTGCAACAAGCACATCAAACGACCATAGTTCTCATCCGACAGGGATTTCATAGGGATTACTGCAAGAATTGCACACAAAAAAGAAATTACATATTAACTTGGACTTTCTGTCACGCTGACCCTCTGGGGACAAAAGTTTATAATGAACTGATTCTGGATGCATTCACGAGAAATGTGAATTTTTTATATATAGAGTTATACATATACATATATATATATATTTATTTGTATATATTATATATGCTGATTACTCCATATTTGTTTAGTATTTATTTCGCCAGAAATACTATACTAAACATAACTATACTATACTACATAATAAAAAAAATAATTTTAAGCTTTAAGATGATTTTTTTCCGTTAGTCTTACAGTACTACATACTGAATATGTTGAAAAGTAAGCTTACGTAGAGTAAAAAAAACTCTTCGTACCGCAGTTCATAAATTCTTAATCAGAAAAGATTTTGTTGAAGCGGTGTGTTTTTACAAAAATTTTTAACCCTTGCAGAGCAAAGGGTATTATTATTTTGGCCAGAAGTTGGCAACGCAGGGAAGGAGATACCTCTGACCCCATAAAGTATATATTCTTGATCAGCATCGAGATCTGAATCGAATTACGTCTGTTCGTCTGTCCGTCTATCTGTTTCTATGTAAACTAGTCCCTCAGTTTTAAAGCTATCTTGCTGAAACTTTCCCAAAAGTTGTGTAGTTTTTGCACACAGTATACAAGTCGGGACGGGCCGGGTCGGCCGACTATATCGGATAACCCCCATACGTAAGAATGAAATAAAAAATCTTACGCCGTTGTTTTCGATCAGATCGACTTGATTTCTTCCAGATGGCGTTTTCTAACTACTATTGAATTTCGGATAAAATTGTATCACAATATAGATATAAATAATGAAAAAAAATATATAAAATATATATATATATAAATATATATATATAATATATAACGTTGTAATCCCACGAGCATGTTTTTTGAATATATGTAGAGTTGTCTAACGACTCTTGAATTACGAATTAAATGTTATCAAAATCGTCATAGCTTTGATGCTGTTTAGCCTTTATGTATTTTGTTCGAAATATTTGATGACTGCAAGGGTATATAAGCTTCGGCTTGCCGAAGCTAGCTTCCTTCCCCCATTTGACTTGTGGAAAAACGCTTAGGTACCTTAGGGCGTTTAAAAAGATTTTGTCGTATAACAAATCAACATTTGTTTAGATAATTGGATTATAAAAAATAAATTGGAATTACTTCCTTTTTTATTTATTAAAAGCATTGTGTTTTAGACAAATGTTATAAACCAATTAGGATTTAAAAATAGGTATATATATTATCTCCATATTAATTTAATCAGCAAACTCGCAAATATAGTTGTGTTTAGAGGAACAGCCGTCAACCCACATGCCACCGTCGTGCACAGTAACGCAATGCTGGTCAAAGTGATCATATCTGGGTTCTCCAGGTTTCCACTTCAAGAAGGGAGCTTTCTTTCCGGTTGATTTACTTATAAACACGCCCCCATCAACCAAATCGCTAATGCCCAGCAGGTAACTAATATTCGAATTCAGTTCGGCCGCAATGCTCTCAAACTCTACTTTATTTTGAATAGAAGCCAGGCGTCCACCTATTTTTTTGCAGGAATCCGAAGCAGTCGTCCAATTTTGCTCATCAACGTGTTCAATATAAAAATACCTCGATCCGAACCGTTTGAAATTATTTCTTTTCTTAATTTTAGTCAGCATATCCAGTATGGCGTCAAGTTTTTTTTCAATCTTGACCTGCTTAAGTTCCATTTTTCTAATCCTGTCTATGATGTCCTCCGAAAGAACCCAATTCCATTGTTTCTCCAGGGATTCCTGTTGCTTTTCTATTTGAGACCGAGATTCTGTCTGCTGGTCCTCTATTCTTTGCAATTTTGCCTGGGTTTCATTTCGTTTTTCATTGTCACAGTTGTTCCACTCATTCTGGTGCTTGGCAATGTGATCAATTAGTGGCATTAAGGTGGAGAGGCAAAATTGGCCACATTGATTCGGAGGATCCTGCAACAGGCACATGAAACGACCAGAATTCTCGGATACCGACAGGGATTTTATGGGGATTACGGCAAGAATTGCACACAGAAAATAAACTATTAATTTCGACATTCTGTCACGCCGACCAACTGGGGCAAGAGTTTATAATGAACTGATTCTGGATACATTCACTGACTGTCGAAGAGCGAGAATTGCGAGAGTGTTAATAAGAACGAATAACTGTAAGCCGTAGGACTGATAATTATATATTACACTGTGCGACAAAATTTAACAAAATTTTTGTTTAAGTTACTTTTTTGATTGTTTTCGGTTAAGGTGCATAAATTATGCACAAAAATATTTATGCAACATTTTAAGTGATACGATTTGTTTTTTCATGGTAAATTTTATGAAATTATGAAAATAATTAACACCAAATATTATTTTTTTTACTTCCAATAAACTATTATTTTTTTTAAAGTGAATTTTTTTCCTGATTTTTTGGCTTTTTCAGAGGTATCCATACGTTCCATACGTAGTCGCCCAGAGTATAGAGCTGGGAGAAAAAAATTTTAAAGCATTGTTATAAAAGCCTAACGGTATATTTGCTTAATACATTTTAATTAATAGATATTGAACTTGCATGAACGCTTATAACGGTTTGTCGAATATTTATTTCGCCAGAAATACTTTTTATGAAAAATAAAAAATATAAGCTTTCAGATAATTTTTTGTATCCATTACTTTACAGTTTTATGTTCAAAAGAAAGTATTAGGTAAAGAAAACTTGTGGAAGCGGTGTGTTGGTATATAAATTTACCAAAATTGGAATTGATTTTATTTGATTTTATTCATCATATTTTGTTTAAAAATCGAGGCGCTTGACTACAGAGTTTCTTTTCGTTTCATTCGGTAGGTGAGACCGGGGGGTCATGAGACACGGGGGGTCGTGAGACGCGCTTACAGCCCTGAACTAAAAGCGCGACATCTACCAGCTGACTTCGAAACTTCTTGCTTGTTTCCAATCTTCATATCCACATCACAAATATTCCGCTCATGCCGATTCTTTATTTCTTCCCAAATCGCAACTCCAATTTTGTGATCGAAAGTTTTGTAGACCGTTCGTGTTTGCTGTCTTTTCGCTTTGTTTTACAAGCTATTTGCGAGAGTGCATACATCCGAAACATTCCTTGGTGAGTAGCCTTTTGACACACGGAACAAATTTTGCATAAACATTTAATGCGTCCGTAAAGCAGTAGCCATATTTAAAATATAGCTATTGGGGGGTCGTGAGACAACGTTCTCGGGGGGTTATGAGACATTCTTTTACCGCGTCATCTAGGAACATAAAATTGTATTTTATAGCCTGATATAGTGTTTCTGTACACAACCAAAACGTTTAATGATAATTTTGATATTTTTGATGGATTCAGTGTTTTTGATGATCGTTTTTTCTTCCTTTAGTCATCATGGTACGTCATAGGTATAGTCAGACTGCCAAATCTGCGATTGATGTCAATGTTTTTGTGGCTGCTATAAAAGAGGTTGCTATCGAGAAAAAGTCGAAATCTTTTCAATTTGAATAAATTGTAGACCACAAAATATGCCTTATTAAAGATTAAAATAAAAAATTTTGATAAAATGAAGCCATTTTCATTCTTATAAATTTGTGTCTCACAACCCCCCGAACATTGCGAAAATCCATAAAAAACAACGTTTGAGCAGGCAGGCAAAACTTGAAGGTCGAACTAAAATTTCAACTAATTATACTCTTGTCTGAGTGAAATTACACTGAATCATGTTTTAGTCAAGGGAACTTTTTAACAGCCGGTTATGGCTAATGCGAATCTATTGCTCTGATTTCTTTCAATATAAGTATCTGAGATAAAAATAAGTAGCAAGTCAAACTTTTATACCTAGACACATTTTAGATCCGTTTTTTATGAATTACATTAGTTTAATAATCAACAATCTGCATCATTGGATAAATGTTTATTTTGTTAAATAATAATTAAACATTTTCGTAAGATGAGTTGTTCACAGAAAATAAAACTAAAATTGTTTTCTTTTTTATACATATATTGGAAGCATTGTGTTTTATACTTTTAGTATTAAAAAAAAGGTATATACATTTTTCCCCACTAAACTTAATCATCTGCAAACTCGCAAATATATTTGTGTGTAGCGTCACAGTGGTCAACCCACATGCGACCGTCATGCACAGTAACGCAATGCTTGTTAAGGTAATCAGATCTATGTAGGTTCTCCAGGTTTCCACTTTAAAAAGGGAGCTCTCTTTCCGGTTGATTTAAATATAAACACGCCCCTTTCAACCAAATCGCTAATGCCCAACATATAACTAACATTCGAATTTAGTTCCGCAATGATGCCGTCAAACTCGTCTTCATTCTGGATAGAAGCTAGACGTCCACCTATTTTTTTGCAGGAGTCCGTGGCAGAATTCCAAGTTTTCTTATGAACGTGTTCAATATAAAAATACCTCGATCCGATCCGCTGGAACTTAGAAGATGCCATCGTTACTCTAGCCTCAGTTTTACTTTTAATGCTAGTCAAAATTTCTTGTATGACTGAAAGTTTTTCCTCATGTTTGGCCTGTGAAGCTTGAAGGGCCGTCTGCTGAAATTCCATCCTGTTAAACCTGTCTATGATGTCCTCCGAAACAACCTCCTTGCAGGATTTCTCAAGGCATTTCTGGTGCTTTTCAATTTGAGCCCGAGTGTCTGGCTGCTGAGCCTCTAAGCTCTGCAATTTGGCAAGGATTGCCAAAATTGTATTCTTATCTTTTATGAACATATCCTAATTCAACGGTCCTCTTTGGACTTCATTCGTTGTACCGTTTCTAAAAACATGTGCTGAAACTTGTGATTTTAAAAGGAAATAAGTATATGCATATTGAGAATATTCTGTTATTGATAGCGAGTAAGCTAAGAAGTGTGATCTAAAAATATTTTTTAGTCAGCGGAACGTAAGTAAAATATATTTTTATCTTTGTATAATAAAATAATTAATATTTAGTTTGATGCCCCGTGGTTTACATTTGTCATAGGAAGATCGCGGCATGATCAAAGGACTGGCTGAATCTGGCCAGACCATTTCTTATATTGCTGTCAGATTAAATAGGCACAGGAATACAATTAGTATCTTCCTTAAAAATCCAGAAAGTTATGGAAAAATAAAGCGAAGCGGCAGGCCTACTGAAATCGAGTTTAGAAAAGATATATTTTCGGACGAAAAAAATTTAACTTAGACGGCCCTGACTCCTGTCAAAAGTACTGGCGCGACAAAAGGCAACCACGGCAGGTCTGCCATAAACGAAACCACGGTGGAGGATCATTAATGGTTTGGGCCGGATTTGGGTATGCTGGGAAGTCTCCACTTTGTTTTATACCGACTAAAACAAATGCAGAAATTTATATAGAGTTACTAGAAACAGTGCTCATTGAATTTGCTGGAGACATTCCAGCAAGACAATGCGCCAATCCACACAGCTCGCAAAACAAAAGACTTTCTGGCAGCTAGAAAAATACCGCTATTGCAATGCCAGCGATCAGCCCGGACCTAAACCCAATAGAAGCCAATTGGGGAATTCTTTCTAATAAAGTTTACAAGAATGGTCGCCAGTTCGACACAGTTAATGACCTTAAAAAGGCTTTGATCAAGGAATGGGATCAAATTAATCCGACAACTCTGAAAAACTTAGCAAATTCAATGCCCAATCGGATTAAACAAATTTTTATTAAGAAAGGAAGTCATATAAATTATTAGGAAGTGTACTTAAAATTGTTGAAAAATTTTCCAACATGTATTTCGAATTTTCGGCCAGTATACACATTTACTTATTTCATATAAAATTAAAATTCTTTATTTAATTTAAAGTTAATCAAAACGTTTACGAAAACTATATTGTTATTTTTTTGTTAATATGTATTCCAGCAATATAAATAAATTTAATCAAAAACCTAATATACCTAATTATTTTATGGTTTTTTTTTTTTAAATAATTTCAATGCACATATACTTCTTTCCCCGAGGTATCTCTGTATCGGCTTGTGTGTCTCCCAATCTGTTCTTCCACAGTGTGTAGATTTAGGTCTCTGTGATAGAAACCGATTCTGCAACACTTGTATCCTTTTGTAGTTCGATTTGGCTGCGATCCCCCAAATTTGAATACCATAAAGCCAGATTGGCAGGATACAGAATGCATATACTGCCCTCTTGCATCTCAGCGGCAAAGTGCTCCTTCTGTGTGTAAGCCAACGCAATTGCTGAATCCTTTGGTTACATTTTTTGACTGTTGCTTTCAGATGTGGTCCGAACGTAAGGCGCTTATCCAGTGTGATACCAAGATATTTTGCTTGCGACGACTGCTTTCTTCTAGGTAGGATCTCAGAAAACCATAGTAGGGGGCAGGTAGGAGGTTTTTGATTTTAAGCAAAAGTCCAACATGCCACACCTTATCGAAATTGCTGCATATCAATGAAAACTGCGTTGGAATACTCTTTGTCATCAAAGGCCTGCAATATATGCTTCACCAATCTGTGGACTTGTTCCACAGTGCCGTGTCCTCTTCGAAAACCAAATTGGTGGTCTGGCAAGATATTGTCTCGATTCATGATAACTGCTATTCGATTGGCAATGAGTCTCTCCCACAACTTGGACAGGGAAGATAAGAGGCTTATCGGACGGTAAGACTCAGGATCAGCCTTTCAGATCTTTTACGCATCCTTTCTTTCTGAACTGCATTAAAAAGATTTCAGACAGTTTTGCAATGCCCGTTGAAAAATAATTGAATTTGAACGGTATGATGCAGATATGCATCACCACCATGTAAAGGGTTATATCACCAATTTAATAAGTTCCAGTTCATTTTGCACAGTTTAGTATACCTAACTATTCCCTAGGCTTATACTGTAAATTCTGGGATAATCCATGTCTTGTGAATCTTATGGTTCCTTGAGCATTTCTCCACTTTAACTTAATCATCTGCAGACTCGCAAATATATTTGTGTTTAGCGGAACAGCTGTCAACCCACATGCCACCGTTATGCACAGTAACTCAATGCTGGTGAGGGTTATCATATTTGAGTCTTCCAGGTTTCCACTTCAAAAAGGGAGCTTTCTTTCCGGTGAATTTACATATAAACGCGCCTTTTCAGCCAAATCACAAATGT